ATGTGTGTTGTACATTGCACATGCACAGGTGTTCAACCCCAAGATCTCACACCCCTGTGCACCCCTTATAGCACAAGCTCTAAGATAAGAGCTAGCTTGGAAGAGCCTGAGGCCCTGTTTTCATCCCTGGAGAGCCCCAGCCTCAGGTTCCCCACACCAGCTTTCCCGGTAGCATTTCCAGAGTCTGTTTTTTTCAGGGACAGGGAGGCAGCCCATCAGGGCCACAGGGAAGACAGGCTAGGACTTAGCTCTTAGGAAGAGTGCATGCTGTCACCAACCAACCAGAGTAACCCAGAAGCCAGAGGGGAGGCCCCAGGAAGGCAGGGCCTGACACCCTGCATCACTCCAGCTCCAAAATGTAGCCCCAAGGACCCAGGACCATGTTATCCAAATTATGAAGGCTTAATTAATGAAAAGGCCACTCATGAAAACTTCAAATGGGGCCTCTACCAGACATCACTTCTTGCCAAAGTCCCCTGAGACTTAGGACAATAGAGGCTTTCCTCGCCCATGCCTATCCTCTTGAGCTCCAGGAAAGCCCCAGACATCTTACTTGGCTCCAGGCACCAGTCTATGATTCTAAACATCATGACCAGAGGGATTCTTCTAAACAAATTCAGACTAAAGTGTAAGGGACTGAAAGCTTATCATTAAGGATTTAGATATACAAATTAGATCAGGTTGCAGGATATCTCAGGGTCAGAACAGAAGAGTGTACAAAGTGGTACCCAGACTCAGGGCCTGTCCACTCAATAGTGTGGCCTAGGAATTTTTTAAGCTCCCAAAGCCTGTTTACCCACCTAATAGCTGATAGTAGTAGTGGCATCTCAGCACAATGGCCACACAGTAACTGATGGAGAAACAGGTGCCATAGTGACAATTTGGAAAAAAAACAGGAAGTACTGAGGTATTCAACTGAAGGTCACAGCATATGTTACACTGTGCTGTCAGAGGCCCTTTCCCGCCCAGACCAGTGGCCGCAGGTGCCAAAGGTTTACACAAAAGCTCTAGGGAGAAAGACTTCAGACTGTGAAAATGCTTTCCACTAAATGAACGTCGTCTGCAAACTGGGAAAAGACCACCATTAGTCAATTTGGCCAGCGCAACACCTGGGGTCCAGCTACCAGAAGCCTGGTGTTGACAGTGGAGTTGGGCAATCACAGAGGGTCCCCTGGAGGAATAGGGCTCTCATGGTGGGATCCAAGGCATGTGGTGGGCCCAGGAGAGGCCATGGTGGAGCACAGAAACCTGTGCTCTAATCTTTGCCTACCACCAATGGAGCTGCCTCTCCCTCAGGGCCTCTGCTTGTCCATCTGGAAGATGGTACTGTAGGGCTGACACCATCTTTCTCCAAAGAGCCTTGGGATTCTCTGGTCCTGGGAACTGGTAGTTGACTCAGGGTCCCACCCCAGCCTCCCCAGCCTAATCTGTGGCCCTCCCAGGCCTCAGGGACAGCACCACTCTGAGAAGTGAAGGGGGAAAAGGAGAGGAATGGGCTCAGACCATGGCTGGAATGGAGTTGGAGGGTGTTTCCTCCAAGGGGTTTGCTTCTCCTGGTCAGCAACCCACAGTGGCCAGAGCTGACCAAATACAAGAAATAAATCCTAACCAGTCTTTGCCCAGTCAGAGGCACCGGCTGGTTCTTATCATAAAAAGATCTTATCCCCATGAGCACCAGTGGAGGACTCCACCCTCCTCCCTCGGTCTTCTGCCTGCACCTTTGACTTCCTGTGACAACCTGCACAGAGACCAGCCTGCCTCCCTCAAGCTAGGCTTCCCTCCCCTGCCAAGCCCCACCCCCACGTGGGCCCCAGCTGCAGGAGGCCCTGCAGAGTGTAATTCCCTGTGCCCTCCTCTCTGTCCTGGCCCGTCCAGACAGATTAAGCCTTTGTCACACACACCCAGAAAAGCTCAGGGCCAGATGGGACAGGACAAGTGGTGTCAGATCATCGACCCTGAGCCGGCCCTGGGACTGAGAAAGGGCCCCAACCATAGCTCTGCATATGGCTGTAGGGGGAGGAAAGGGTACCGGGGGCAGAGGTGAGGAAGAGAAACGACACACATAAAGGCCACCCTTGGACCACTGAGGCCACCTTGAGCTTAATTCCTGACATTTCCCAACTACCCTCCCTTTCTTGAGTCTCTGCAGACTTTTATTATTCACAGTGGTGCTTGCCTCCCCCAATAACTGAAGGTCCCAGGAGCAGGTGCCAAGTCTCACTCACCCCAGTTGCGCAGTGCCCACCACAAGGCCTGGGAGACACCAAATAAATGCCATGGATAAAGGTTTACAGCCTGATGACCTTCACAAAAACCCAGTCAAGACAAAACTACAGAATCTCTCCCACTGACCACAGAGGCAATGACAACTTTAATTGTGTGCGTACGCACGTGCATGTGTGCATGTGTGTGTATGTGTGTGTATGCATGTGCATGTGTGTGTTCCTGGACCAGTGAAGGCAGGAGATGACCCTTATGTCTTTCAAAAAAGGTCCCATTCAGTCCCTCCTAAGAAGAGGCCATGGCTGCCCAGAATTCCCAGCAGGATCTGCTCCTTTAAATCAGTGAAAAAGAAGATGGAAATGGAAAAATGATAACGGAGCCCCAGGAAGGTACTTGGAGATGGGATGGCAACACTCTGGTGGACATCTCCAGTGGCTGGCTCCGGTTGGCTAGGCGAATGGCAGGTAACTAACAGGCTCTCATGGGACAAGCAGGCCAGGCAAGCCAAGCCAGAGTGGGGAGCTGGAGGGGCGGGCTATCACAGGAGGGCATGTCTGTTGTGTTTGTGTCCTCCTGGCAGCCTGGGCAGGGAAGCCAGGATCCCCTTTCTTTGCCTCCCAGGCAGGTGGTCCCCTAGGAAGGGCTTGTTATTGGTCTGAGAGCCAGGGTGGAGGCCTGTCAGGTCCCTGGGGCTAAAAGCAGGCAGGGTAGGGAGAGTGGGCTTCAGGAAAGATTTGAAGCAGCTAGCTAGCCTAGCAGGACCCAAACCCAGACCCAGCACCCCAGTTTCTGCTTGTGGCCTGGATGGGAATGTTATGCAGAGACAGTTGTGTGGGATAAAGGGACAGACAGACAGACAAACTGCCTCTCATTATGTCCACTCCCTAGGGGAGTGGGTCACCTAGAGAGCCAGTAAGTCAGCTGCCAGGTGTGTGAGCATCTCCCCCCAACTCAAGGAGTGGGCAGACTGGGCTCTCAGCTGCAGGAAGGGATAGCCAGGAGGATGGGGAAATGGGGACTGACCTGGAAAGCCCTGAAGGCTGAGGGCACTAACTGGGTAGGGGTAGAGACCCGGACAACCATCTGGTGGGTCGCTGCCCTAGGAAGAGTCTCCTTGATGAGTAGTACTTAGAATGGGGAGAACCAAGTGAGAATCTAAAACAGGCAGGCTGGGGAAGCTGATGCCCACCAACTCATAAGGGCAAATGGGCAATGATTTGGTTGGGGGAGGGTCCTTGGCTCATCGGAGGTTCGGACAATGACCCAGACTCCCTGGGTTTTGGGGCGAGTGCAGATTTGGGTCGGGGTGCTCGGTGCCTGCAGGGACACTGCCCAGCCTCCCGCTCTGGGACGCCGGCGGGCGCGCTCCTGGGCCCTGCCCCCTGTTCCCCGTCCCGGCCGGAGGCGGCAGCGGCGCAGATGGACTGCTGGCGGCCGCAGCGGCAGCGGCGCGGTTATCAGCGCTCCTCGCAGATGGGCCGCCCGCCCTCCGCGCTCGCGGCTCCCACTCCCCGCGGCCTGAAACCCAGTTCCCTGGGCGCGGGGGGGAGGCGCCTAGGGCTCCGCGCCCCGGCTCCCGCCTCCCTCCTTCGCGGTCCCCTCACCCCGCGGGCCTGGTCCGGGAGGCTGCCGGAGGGGGAGGGGGAGGGGACAAGTGCACTTTTCGTAACGACCGAATCAATTGTGTGTGAAGAGCCCGCTCTGGCCGGGGATGGGGCTGAGCGCCGGGCGGGCGGGCCGGACGGGGGAGGAGTGCGGAGGGGGAAGCGGGGGAGCGAAGGAGGAGGGAGGCTGGCGCGGGGCGCCCGGCTCTCGCGCTCCGGGCGGGCGAGGCCGGGGAGGGGCGGCGGGGAGGGAGGCTGGCCGGACCGAGCTGGGTCGGGGACCGAACGCACTAACGGAAGGTCTCGGTGACGGAAAGTTCAAAGCTCAGCAGCACCCTGAGAGAGGCCGCCCCCCCCAGCCCCCACCCTCTGCAGAACAATGAGGTCCCGGCGGGGGGAGCCGCGGGGCCCACGCTGCACGCCCTCTCCAGGGCGCCCGGGGCCGGAGGGGACGCCCCCGCCCGGCCGCCTGCCTCCTCCCTGCCCGCGGCTGCGGCTCCCCGCCCCCTCCCCGCGTCACCCCGCCCGGACCCGACGCCCCGGGGACGGGGAAGGGGAGGGGATGGG